TGTCATTTTACGTTCGATACTCTAAATTGACGTCCTGTTAGATTCGTAGACACAGTCATTTTTGGATCGGTAACCTAAACTGATTAAAATTTCAGACGTTAACTTGTTGCCAGGGAAAACGGTTATTGTCATTTGTCCATGAATGATTTACATTTACTTGTTTGGCGTATGTAATTCGTGTCCCATTTATAGTCTTAATGGCTCTACGTTGAATATACAGAATAAAGGTCGATGGGATTTTAGAGTAATCATTGAAAATCTCTGAAGCGGAGGCGGGGAAAAGGTAAAAGGACTCCGGATATAAATAGAAATGATTTTAGATATTGTTTGACAAAATAAGCCTATTTAATTATTTTTAAATTAGTATAGGACCAAACATGCGGAGTTGTACTGTATTGATTACAGAAGGAATTTCTTGAATTATTATTCAATTAGTAAACAATTATTATTACTATTTACTAGCTTTTACCCGCGACTTCGCCCACGTAACCGAGATATGTTTATTTACTGGGATAACAAGTAGCGTCTAACCTTCTCCGTGCCATATATGTTAGTACTTCTAAATCTAATTACATAGTAGTAAGTTAAGGCGCTGAAAGGTAATAAACAAACTCACTTTCACATTTATTAACAATATTAGGATAACGACTTTAATCACGTGTTTAGGTTTGGGATTGTTCAAACTTTCAAACTCGGTAGGAGCTCTGTAGAAAAATCTTTAGAATTGGTATTGCAAATTAGTGGAAATGTCGTGTAATATACATTAAATTCAATTTTAAATCACCTTTATTTAGGTTCAGAGGAATAACACCTGAGTCCTCAGGAATGGCAACGCATGGGGGGTATCATGGGCGAAACAGTATACTCTGTTATGTCCATGGTACTGCTCATGTCTATAGGCGACGGTTACCACTTTCCATCAGGTGGGCCGTCAAATTATTTGTCATTCTAAGTTGTATAAAAAAAAGACATGTTTCCAAGCATTTTTAAATCGTAATTTTTTTTATGAATGCAGGATACGGAATGTAGTTATCTGCTGAAAAGTATACGCAAGACACACAACAGTTACTCTTTTAAATATCTGTTAACATTATGCATTTTGTCTAAAATTACATGGTCGTTAAAAGTCCGTGCATGATCGACTAATACTATGCACATTCATCATCATCATCATATTTCATCACCCTTTAACTCTCCAGTGCTGAACATAAGCCTCCCTTTTAGGGATTTTGCCAGTAGTTGGCACGCTTGGCAGGCGGTTTAGCAGCCGTCGTTAGGCTTTAGAAGTTTAGGTTTACCATACATACTAGTCATTCAATTAATCATTTAGTGTGTAATAGGCTTTGTTCAATAAGTGTTTTTTAATAACAGTTTTAATTTTATTAAAAAGTAAATTCAAAATGTCCTTCGGTATCTTATTATAATATTTAAAGCCCATTCCCATAAAAAGAGCAAAGAGCAGCAACTTTGAATTTGTATCTAGTGTTTTATTTAATGGATGATAATGGAATGGTAACCCCACCCGCGCTATCGGTATACACCGGCGGGGCACCATTGAAGGATGATAGGTGAGGATGAAGTAGGTCAGTTAGCCCGTCGTGACGAATTCAACAGGAATTGTTCACGATGGTTTCCAGGGGGAACCACGTGGAGGTCGACCTAATAAGGCATATTGCTAGCAATGGGGCTGTCAAACTCCATTACTAATAATCCCTTTCCCCCCTGTATCTAGTGTTATGATTGTGTAGATCGCCGTTTTTAAGAAACAGTTGAAAATTCCTGACAAAATGTTTGCGTACATGTATTGCAAAGCTACGTTCGAAATATTTGATTATTTAAATTTTCTCTTAGTGATGCACGACTTCCTATAGAATAAATCGCTTGAATAACATGTATTTATAATATAAATATGCTTTGAATGTCGATTGCTTTACCCAATTATAATATTCCATAGGATAGTATACTATGGAAGTAATTAAAATAATTTAATCAGGCAGTCTTAATATTAGTATACTGTTTGACTCTGCGTACTGCATACGCCACAGAATTATGTAGTTTATTTGGAATGTGAGAACTCCGCTAAGTTTTATTAACAAGAGTGGTCCAAAGAAAGGCGGTAGAATCTATAAAACCAAGAGGTCCATCATTTCATTTTACAGTAAAATTGGAACATACAAATTATATATAACAATAAATTGTAAAGTAAATGTAGAGGGTAGTGGGTGATCATGGGCGGCGGTAGTCACTTACCACCTGGTGAGCCGCATGCTCACGCAAGCATGCAAGCATGCGGCTCACCTGATGGTAAGTGAAAAGTAACAGTGTTAAATAGTGTAGCCAAAATTACTTGTTCAACAGTAACTGTTATGTTTGTAATATTTTTTGTGGAGCAAAATCAATATTTTTAAAATTATCTTTCCAACAATTTTTCTATTAATTTCCTATAATATTTATGTGTACTTAACAATAAAAGAAATAACGAGTTAAACCTCAAACCTCAAACCTTAAGGCTCGCAATAATATGATTATGACGTGAAATCATTTATAACCTTTCAGCGCTATCACACGGCTATTGGCTTACAAAAGTCGCGTCATTCTGAGACCTTCACGTGACGTCAGCCGTGAATAGATGGCGATTACTTTGATGTTGATTTCTCGACGCGCTAGGACGTCGCGGGGACGCGCTCAAAAGACAAATTAGATCCGGTCGATCCCTCGCCACTCCGGTTACGTGAGGTGCATGTAATAAGCTTGAGCGGTGTTAAAATTAAACCTATTTAATTAAAATACGTTACGTGAAAAGTTTCTTGGATTAAATATTTTTTATTTATTAAATATTTTAATGTAATAACTACCGGTTTAAGTTACGTGTAATTAGATCGTGAAAGTTCGACCAGTTTCGGGATCAATTCGTGAGCGCGAGCCTGACTTATTAAAGTTAAATAAAAAGTTATGATTATCAATAAATATTGAATGCTTTATATAATGACTTGGTAATTATTAAGGTGGATAATTAACTAACAGAAGAAAATATGAAAATTTTTAAACATATTAATTAGATACTTAATTTAATAAATACGTACCTATTTTTTTGTGAATATTAGTTTCATACAGTCCTAAACTAAACAGTTAATTTTTACCGTATGTACTAAAGAGCTGTCAGAAATATTTAAATTCTTTTTTTTATAGATATAAATAGATTATAACACCCAAATTGAATACAAATATTGGTATTGCTTGAGAATCGAATCCGCGACCATTTGAAAACAAGGCGGTATGTTTTTTTTAAAGGATGCTAGTAGAATGGTAATCTCACCAGCGCTATCGGTATACGCTGGCAGGGCACCATTGAGGAATAATAGGTGAAGATAAAAGCAGGTCAGTTGGCACATCATGATGAATTTAACAAGAATTATACCCGATGGTTTCCAGGAAGAACCGCGTAGAGGTCAACCTAACAGGTTATATTGCTATCAATGGAGCTACTAGTCCTCTGTATAAATAAACCCTTCCCCTCCAGGCGATATGTTAAATTACTATAACACCAAAGTAGTCAGAGTTAAATAAATTTAATCTTCATAAAAAACAGCTATTGAGGGTACTCGGGCGGTAAATATATAGGAATGCTAACTGCAAAAATACAATACTTATATAAATCAAAGTAGTCAGTAAAGATAAGCATCAATACGAATCATTATGAACTATTTATCTGGTTCTTTCAAATATATTATAGTAGTTTTGTATAGTTTTTAATTTAACCTTACAATCCATTTTCTCTCATATACAAGTAAAATAAATAATAATATTGAATAAAAAAGTATATAGTGTCCCCATACACATGCTTCACTATCGCATATTATATCAGTTATTGTACACGTATAATCTACTAAAAAATGCATGTATTATGCATAATTATTGAGTTTTTCTTTATTTACCTCCTGAATATGTATTTCAGATAATAACAAAATTCACAAAATGGGAATTTTAACATGAATTACGTTAATGACAAACAAGAGAAACGTTCATTTGACATCAATTCGAATTTATTTTGATATGCTCCAATCGATTGCATTAAAAAATTCAGTTTACAAATTTTAATGTAGTTAATATTAAAAGTTACTTAGTAATACTAGTGATAAATAATCAGTTTTTATTTGCCAATATGACGATACATATAAGAGTTAAAAATGAAGAAAATTTAGTAGAAATAATTATTAATATTATAAATGTGAAAGTTTGAAGGATGGATGGATCCATCCATCCTTCTTTCATTCTCGGATATTTGTTACTCTTTCATGCAAAAACTATTGAACGAATTTTAATGAAATTTGGTACACGGGCACATTATATTAGTTGCAGAAATGTGCTATGTGCTAAGTTGTGTCTACAGTTAGCATAGTAAATGGAAACTAGCTATCGTTCGCTTATACCTTAGAGCGGGACGACCCGGGAGCAATCGGCTACAATGTCGTAACCATTCGTGTAGAAATATAAGCCAGATCCATATAGCGCGCTGTGGAATGCTCCATATCATTGCTACGCTATAATTAATCCTGTGACTTCACGAATTGGATCAAATAGATACTGCATATTTGAAATTCTTTAATAAATAATAACTTCTTCCGTTGCGAAACGACTTCAGTGGTAAACTATATGATAAATTGTCATACTATTTGTATACAAATATGACAGTTCTTGTATTTTTTTTCTATTAAAAACAACAGGGGATTCAAAGTGTTTTTGTTGGCAGGTCTCAAGCTAGTTATGACAAAATTTTTATAAAGTTAGTGCTTTAGAATATTTCTCTTAATTTCATTGATGTTAACTTCTAACGAACAATTTATATAATATTGATAAACATAAATATATTAATTTATACCTAGTTATTAATAAATTTTCATGTCATAATATCAGAATATGATCTGACCAGTTAAAATCAATGTTTTAGCAAATAAATCTGTGTATCGGTTTGATGAAAACATTTGCTTTTTTCTTTTCAGGTACAAGGAAATGAGTGACAAGCTATAGTGAAGTGAATCATCTCATAATGGCAGTGAACAGTCCCGGTGGATATCCTCCCGTGTCCCCCAAGCCCCACACTCCTAAAAGTCCTCGACATTTCGTTTTCCCTCAAAAAAGTCCCTCCATCACATCAAGCACCTCCTCATCTGGTTACTACACTCCCCAGTCTGGCTGTAGCTATGACAAACACAACCAACCACCAAAGTCTCCAATCGCTCATGGCCATAGAAGTCCTATTAGTCCAAGACATTTCAATTTTCCACAAAATCAATCGGGACGCTCCAGTCCCAGCAATTTTGATCGATCCCATGGCCTGCATTACACCACATCACTGAAGCATAGCCGCCGCGAAAAATCCAGGTCCCCAAAGCCACCACCCGTGCACATTCATACAAACCCTGGCTACGTATCACCAAATCGTACCAGAAAATTATACGGTTCTACTTCCACAGTGAATTCGCCGAGACTCGTGACTTCTCCAAGTATTGTGTCGAGCCATACTGACGACTCGACGGATGCGATGCCCGGAACCCCTTCCGCAGTAGTCCACGACGCTGATGATGAGGCAACGACCACATCCTCAAGGATTTGTAGGAAATCTACGTCAGATCTTACTGATATGACGGATGATACCCCGCAGACCAGGTCTACAAGTGTCAGTAGACCGTGTTCCCCAATGAGACGGGGCTCAATGAAGGGTGGCTTGGCATATTTAGCCAGTAGAAGAGGTTCGAGGGAGTCCACGATGTCAAATTGTGATTCAGTGGAAGATATCGGGCCGTTAAACTTTCAAAATACAATGCGCGGTCGACAAAGAAGAACCTCGAACTTTCTGGAATTACCAGGTCAGTTTCACAATTTTTACATTAATTTTTTTTTTGTGTGAACACACTCGTTATTATTTATTTTATATATGCTGGAGACTGTTGGCAGTTAGTAAAATGTACCTTTGATAATGCCTTGATATGGCAAAACCAGTCAGAAATGAACCATCTTATACCCGTACGTCATAGGGGGTATCATGGGCGAAAAAGTATACTCTGTTATGTTCATGGTACTGCTCATGTCTATAGGCGACGGTTACCACTTTTCATCAGGCAGGCCTTAAGCTTGTTTGCCATTCTAAGTTGCAAAAAAAATCTATAAAGCCAAGTGTGTCAAGGTTTTTTTCAAAGAGACTACAGCATGGGGTTCTTCAAAAAGGAGGTAAAGAGGTTTCTTCAGGGTCGTGTCGGTTCGCGTGATTTCTTTGGTATTGTAGGCGTTCATAGGCTATGGTAACCGCTTACTATCAGGTGGGCCACCTCAGTGGTATAAAAAAAACACATTCGTGGATATAGCTTTCTCAGTTTGCTACATATGACTTTTCGAGTTCGAGAGATCTAGTTTTTAATAATTTCTAATGCTCTTTCTTAAAATACGTTTTTAAGAGACGCGGAGACATCGTTATTATATAAATAAATTAATAAAATATTTTTCTTTTAGATGATTATGGCATTAGCAAGATTTATATAGGATAGCTAATTTACCCACCCTAGGTAAATAAATGCGAAAAAATCATTAAACCTTTATAAAAGTGTTTGGGTGCTTGTTACTTAATCATGTATAAACGTCTAAATGTTTTTGAATTAACCTAGATAAATAAAAAATATTTTATTTTACTATAATAGACGTGGTTAAAGCCGCAGTGTATAACTAATATATAATAATGTACATCATGTCGTTGGGGACCTACCTCTGTAATGTCGTTTTGTGTCAAAGAGCTCAGAGATTCTCATCAATTTAGGAAATGAACTTTTCTAAATATACTCAGGTCGGTTTATTTTAGAATTCTGGTTATCCGTTTTCCTTTTAGCTGGATGTTTTTAAATATATATTGATCCTATCAAACTTCAACCCTTTTTACATCATGATGATGATATGAAATATCTAGACTGAAATTAGAGAAGTTGATGTTTTGGGCTCGTTAAATATCATTCAATATTTAACGAGTCCATAATGATAGCGCAAACCCTACATAATAAAGTAAAAATTAAAAATATAAAAAATTATTTTCTCAAAATAAAATAAATTAAAAATTAAGTTGGTGAGTAAATAAAAAAAAAAAAATTATAATAAGTGACGATAATGCGGATGGCGTAGCGTACACCCTGAAAATAAATTCTAGAAGGAAACGGTTTTCGATTCACGGTTTTGATAATTCTTTTTGCAATGCAGAGACTGTTCTTATTGTAGTTTTATATTAATTTTGTTTCGATTAAAATGTATTTTATATAGAAAAATCCATATATTTAATAAAATAAATAAGAAAATAAATGAGCTATTCATCTTCGAGTCAGACCGAATATAAATTTCAAATAAATAGAGGTGACCTTTAAAATCCAATGTAACTTAATTGCTTCTTAATATTAAATTACTTTTCAATTTATCTACGTACTACCTACGTACTCTAGGTAGACCAGAGATATTGTAAATCAAACACGACCAAGTTCAGATGGTTTGATTTGATCAAAACTTGCTTCGTTGTACTTATAGCTTGTCGGGATGTCATCGAAATTGTTAAAGCTTAAATTTCGTGACATTTTCAACTTAATTTGACAGCTCATTATGTATTCATTAATATTGATAATAGGGATGGGTAATATATAGGAATATTATACTTCCAATACCTATAATATATCTAATATATTATATATTGGTATCCATATATATATATAATAATAGATATATTAAATACTCGTTATTCATTGTATAACATGAAATTTCACCCCAGTTGAAATTAAATACAGATATGTGGCTAGTAGTGTGACATCAAAAAAGACCAGTTTTCCGTTATCAATGTTAAAAAACCCAATATATAGATATCAGTGCTGCACCGATATTGTCCATGCCCGTCGATATTATTCATACCTAAATCTTTATATTTATTTGGTTTAAAGGTCATGCTTAGGCCATAAATTAGTATTAAATTAGTCATAATAATATTAAGTAAGAAATATTAAGCTCTTTGACTGCCTCAGTGACACTGGGAATAATTCATCTATACTCATTAGTCTGAGTAGTGTTGAATCGTTTGTAATTTATTAGGGTTCCGTAGTAAGATATAAAGAACACCTATGGTAAAAAAGTTCCCTCCATCAATCCATTCATCTATCACAATGCTGTATCTCCGCAACTATGGTACTACTGTTATCGATTTTAAATTAGGAATAGTTTTAGATTACTATTGTTAGATCTGTCAAAATTTATTTTTAGCTTAGATTATGAAGTAGTATAAGATTTTTATCTCCAGTACGAGCCTCTTACATGACACTGGTAAAAATGGCCGTAAAATGAACGACCGATTGCCATTGAAGCAAAGATCTGCCATAGAGATTTCCTTACGCTTTTTTAGAACTGAATCCTAAAAATCGCTAAAAGAGAAGATTAAAAGATCCACAGTTCAGATACCAATTGGGATTTGATTGAAACTAATTCCATTATTTCAACAGCATGTCAAGATGTCACCGAGATTCCTGAAATTTAAATTTGGAACGATTTCAACTTAATTTGACAGCTCATTATAATTATATTCGATACTGGCTTTTGCCCGCAACTTCGTAAGTGTGGATTTTGAACCAATATTTCAGATGGCGTATTAGGGTGAAACATAAATCAGATTTTAAATTACATCTTTAGGAAGGAAGGAAGAATTGTGAAAATCGCACCCAATTTGGTATAAAAATTTCTGTGTGATACCGAAACACAAATATACAGATTAACAAGAAAACTAAAAAATATGTCGTACTGAGACCCCAGCATAGACTTCCTTTACTGTGGGTTTCGTTAGCGACTAAGAGAATTAAATGCTCGAGGGACGGCCAGCAGCGTCCCTCTTTAAACATCACCTAAGACTAACTGCGGTTGTCAACTCACCTGTTAAACATGGCAACTACTGGCAAATCCCCCCAGTTGGAGGAGGCCTATGTTTAGTAGTAGATAATTAACGTTTAATATGATATGATTAGAAATAATATTTTGGCTTCTATTACACTTATTAAATAAAGTCTCTGATATTAATTTCTTAAATATGAGTATGCCCTATATACAGATAGCATTTATATATGCAGCGCATTTTATTAAATATTATGTATATATTTTGTATATATTTATGTTATAGTATAGATTGATAAGTTTTAATTAAATGGGTTGTCGGTTTGTAGACAATCGGTAAAGTGAGATGGCTGTCACTGCCAGATTTGATGCGAACACACTGCATAATTATTGTAGGCGGTAAACAATAATGGTCTTACAACAAAAATAATTTTAAACACTGTTTGTATAAATATTATTTAGTCCATATAATATGTTTATTTGTTTATTAGTATTATTTAGTCGATATAATATGTTTATTTTCAATATCGGAACAGTAGCACCGGAGATTACCCCGAACATTCAAACTCACTAACTTTACCTCTTTATAATATTAAATATAGATTTATTTTTTCCTCTATGCATGTAATAATAATAAAGCCTTTTTATTTATGTCCATATTCCTAATATATTTATAGTATTGTTAGTATCTAATCTATTTATAATTTTTCTTTATGACTAATTATTGGTGCAATTTTTGGTTTTATTGCTGGATATGGGCCCCTCTTTGGGCGAAGGCTTCCTCCATCTTTCTCTACAACTCTCTGCTTTTGCCCATCATAAACCAATCTTTTCCTGTATTCTATCATCAGCCCACCATCTTATTGGTCTACCAATATTTCTTTTACCTCAATATTTCTTTTACCATCTATTGTCAGCAAAATGTGAGCTATTTTATATTTAGAGCATGTGTGACTGTATCTGTTAATTTAGTTTTTTTTTGCTTTTTTTTTCATTTTTAATTTTGTGTATTTTTCTTGTTCCCAATATACTTCTTTCCATTATACATGTATACTATAGTAATTATCCTATATAGTTACTATTTTTTATGTTATATTTATTAAGTATACGTTTTATTATTATTACCTATTCTAATAATGAAGTACCGCATTTACTGCTCATGATTCACTGTTTATCCCAAAGGTTGACTGGAAGAAATTGCTATTAGCATTAAGCCCGCCGGTACCGTATTTTCATTTATCAATAAAAGTTATTTAAATAAATAAATAAATATTTATTATATTATTATCAAAAGAATAAATCATAGAATTGCAATAGAATTAACAAAAGTAGTTCAGAATTTGAGAATATATTATAATAATTAAAAATAAAAAAAAAATGTATTGACACTCCCCATCTTTTTGAAGTCGCATAAAACATATAATTTCACCACGCATTTTCAGCATTCTAAGTTTTTTTTTATACCGCTAAGGTAGCAAATAAGTATATGGCCCACCTGATGGTAAACGGTTACCGTGGCCTATGAACGCCTGCAAGAAGAAACTACTTTACCCCTTTTTTGAAACACATGCTGTAGTCTCTTTGAAAAACCTCGACCAGTATTCCATGCGATCTAACCATAGACAGTTTTAATTACACATAAAAGATTCCTAATTATATAAAATAAAAATCTTCATTTCAAAATTTAAACAGAGTGTATATATTTGCGCATGCATAAAAAATTATTTCCAAATCCGTCCCGAGTGGTACAGCGCTTGAATATTTTAAAGGGACCGAAAGATCATGAGGGTACGCCGAGACAATATCGCGGGTCCCTTGCGTATAGTCGCTGAGCGTGTATGTATATGTTGAAGTCAAACACTCTTAACCAGTCAAAAGTTTTTCTTTTTTTTTTATACAACTTAGAATGGCAAACAAGCTGACGGCCCACCTGATGGAAAGTGGTAACCGTCGCCTATAGACATGAGCAGTA